TGATAAAAGTTGTCAGTGATGGACAATGAATAACCAGAGATTTCTAAAAACTAGTATGCACAGAACAAACATTTGTCAGCTAGAGGAATATCACAAAGCACAGAGCACACAGAGTGACTCAATGGATCAAAGTGTTTCACACTATTTGAAAACATAAAGATCTACAGTGTTCATTTCTTTGCCAACAGTGTTTCTGCCCAACTGCTTCTCTGTCCTTCACAGAATTGGGCCTGGATCCTTGCTATGAGAAGAAACAGGCAGCTCAGAAAAGATGTTTTTCATTTGTGTTTCAACCTGAGCAAAAACCACACAGCATCCCTTTCTTCAGGGATTTGATCCTTCTGTTCAGTTAGGTTCTTATATTGTATTCATCCTTATACCACTGAAGTCAACAAGAGTCTCTACTATAATGTGCCTGAGGCTGTTTCAACATAATGGACCAAACAAGGAGGGATGCTCTGGTCTCCTATCAGAATTAATGAGAGTTGTGGGTGCTCCACAACTTTCAGGATTTGACAGTTTAAGACTCAAGTATTAAATGTCAAAGCAATTTGTGAATCAAGCCATAGCTACATTAAAAACCAAATTCTCCTCAGGAAAAAAGCGTGTTTTGTCTAGAAGATTCAGTCATGGAACAATCTTCCAGAGGAGATTTGGGGACTCCAGAGTCCCACCATCTTTAGAAAACATAGTAAAACCTTCCTCTTTGGAAAGGCCTTTCCACCATTGCAAGAATGACACTCAAAACACAGACACCTCCGCCTACCCAAAAACCCCAAACAAACCAATCTCAAATAAATATATAAATAAAAATAAAATAATTAAAATGTTAAATGCAAAGGTTTTACTCCAAAAATGGAGAAGTGCCAGAGAGTCCATGAAGTATATTAGGGATTTCATTATTGTTATCCTTTAGATAGATAGATAGATAGATAGATAGATAGATAGATAGATAGATAGATAGATAGATAGATAGATAGATAGATAGATAGATAGGGCCAACTGGAATTAAATTTTGAAGAATAAATGTACAAATATGCAAATGAATCAGGGGAAATGCCTCTGAAGCCACTGAAGTTATTTATACTAGTGTAAAACTGGTGCCAGCAAGAAGAAAAAGAACCACACCTTAGCATGAAGTTACAAGACTAATAAATAGTTCTAGGTAAGTTCCAGCTTGCAGTTCTTGGATAGGAATTTTGCGTAAATATTCCAAGATGGGGCATTCCAATAGGTTGTGCAAGATCTCTCTTAAAAGTAGGGGGATATACTGTTACTGATGTACATTAGCATACTCTTACAGCATAGTGGTGAGGTTTGTGTTTATGTGTCTTGAATGACTGCAAACTTATTCTAAACTCCTCCCAAATCAGTGACAGAGTTTGACTCTGGCTTTGTCTTTCATCAGAGTTAATAAGCACCTCACTTTGTGGTTAAGGGTGGCTAACAAAGCATCACCCCACTTGAGATAAAGAAGGGCAATTGTCAGGTCTTTTACTATAATAACCATGGTGATAATGCATTAGAAAAGTGGTTCCCAATGGATCTGGGGAAACAGTATCCATTTACCAGACTCCACCTACCCCTGCCAGAGGCCCCTGCTTGTCCTTTACCTTTCTGCACTCTAAAGCAGTCTGGCACTGGCACAGCCAATTCCAGGATGGGGGGAGACAAGGTGCAGGAGAAACTAATGGGTGGGTCATAGTTAGGGTGGCTGGTCCCAGCATGAGGGAGGGAGCCATGGTAGAATCTGGGGTACCAGTACTAGAGCCAGCACTGGGAACCAGAAAGGGGGGAAGGAGAAGCTGCTTTGGGCAGGACTTACCACTCTGGGTTTGTGCTGGTCCAGGGTCTGCAGGAAGGCCTGGCTTTGATCCAAGGTGCGCTCGGGGTCGCTGGAGATGTCCTCCTCCGATTCCTCCCAGGATGAGGAGAAGCCCGTGGAAGAAGCCGAAGAGGAAGACAGCTTCCTGATGGGCATGTTCACTCGGGGATTCTCCTGGGCCTCCTCCTCCTGACCTCCCAGATCAGTAATGATGACAGCGGGGATGCTGCTTCCGCAGCAGCCCTCCCCCGAGGGTTTCCCGTTTTGTCCTGTGCGTGCCTCTATCCCCAGCAGCTGAGGGTCTCCAGGGTGGTCCTGCTGCAGCCGGGCACAGACTTGATCCTCTGCTCCCAAGGAGCTCCCAGACGCTGGGCACAGCTCAGCAGAACCGGTCCAGGCTGGGGTGCGCCCGAGCTCCCCCCAGTAGCCAGGCTTAGGGGGCCGTTGCTGCTCTTCACTCCTTCCTTGCTCCGGAGCAGCTGAAGAGTCCGAGCCCCGTGATCCGCAACTCTCGCTCCCTTCCTCTGGTGAGGCGGAACCCTGAATTTCTAAGGACTCGCTGCCCTGCTCCATCACCCCTGTGCCCTGCCCGCTGTGCGTCCCAGCTCCTTGCTCCATCACCCCCCAGCCCAGCGTTTCACTGGATTCTCTCCTCGTCTCCATCACTTCCGAGCCCCGTGCTGTGTGAATCTCCGCCCAGCTCTCCAGCACTTCTGAGCTTTGTATGCCACTGCCCCTCCTCTCCATCACCGCCGTCTTCTGCGCCCGTGGGGGCCCGCTCCACTTGCCCCGCTCCTCGGGTCCCGGCAGTTCACAAGCCCCACTCCTCTTCTGCGCCAGTGCCCCGCCGCTCCTCGCCACCTCCTCTGTGCCATGTGCCCCCAGGGTCCTGCTCCCCCGCTCCATCTCCCCTGTGCTCTGTGCCTCGCAGTGCCCCGGCTCCTGCCCTCCGGTGAACCCGCACCCCCGCCCCATCTCCCCAGACACCTGCACCCTGGCGTGCTCACTCCCCCTCCCCGTCTCTCCCAGAGCCAGTCCTACGCCACCCCCGCGCTCTGCCTCTGGCCAGGGTGAGGGGCTTGCCAGGACTTTGTTCTCCTCTGGCCCGGGCACCTCCCCTGGGGCTCCACCGGGGGGCGGGCTGCAGAGCCACATGGGGGATGGTGACCTCCGGCGGTGGAGCTGTGTGCCTGGATATGCGCCTCGAAGAGCCCCACTTTCTCGTTCACTTGCACATGCTGCAGCTCCCGCTGGCGAGGTGCTGATGGTTCTTCCCTTCCCCCTGGGCTCGGGCTGCTGAGCCTCCCGGTGCTCCCGGATTCCTCCGGTGGCAGCTGCTCCCCGGGGGGGAAAAGGAAGGCTGAGCTCCTTCGGTGCCAGCGGGGGCTCCCAGTGCCTGGGCTGAGCAGGTAACAGGCACTGTGCCGCTCCGGGACCTGCAGCACCTGCCCCCGGGGAGGGGGCGACTTGCTCCCGCTACCACCGCTCTTTGCCTCCTGGCTGCTATTCATCATCACCAGGCTATTGAGCGCATAGCAGTACACAGCCATAGTACTGAGCCTGGGCGCTCGCGGGGGAAGCCGCCTGCTCCTCCTCCTCCTGGGTCAGCCGCTGCGGGGCAGCCGGGCGCCTCACCCCGCGCGG